ATATATAAATTGTAATACTAATATATATATAAATAACTTAATATTAAAAAAAAGTTTAAAAAATTTGGGCAATTCGGGCGGGCTCGGGCCGCCGAATACAAGCCCGCGGCCCGTTCAAGGTGAAATTCGGGCTCGGGCGGGCGGCCCGAAAATCTCGGGCGGATCGGGTTCGGTCTCGGGCAAATCCTCGGGCTTTTCGAGCGGTCACGGGCGGCCCATCCAAAGTTCTAGCACTAAACGTACCTTCTATCACAGTATGATATGAGGCAATAATAACAAAAAAAAGAAAAACACCTTTTATAAAAAGCAAAATGTTGATGCGTAAAATAACTAATATAAATGCAGTAATAGCAAGCCAGTTGCTTTGGTTCAGCCATTTCACCATTTTTTCTCTCTGTTTCTCTCTCATAGCTCCCAACCTTGTTAAAATTCGAGCACCTAAATAATGAGCTACAAGAAATTACATTCCTTGTATTTTATTTTATTTTATTTTATTTTTTATTGTAAGGTTACTTTAAGTGGATTTTTCTTTGCCACAGGAGCTTTTCACTTTTTTTTTTTTTTGCCCCCTTCATTTCGTGCATCAAACTCAAGACAGATTCCAAGATCTATATGCATCTGTGTTCCCTTCTTTGTTCGTTTGATTTCTAAAATCAAAATCGTATTTTAAGATCTCGTTCATTTCACCGATTTGAGTTTTTAATCTAAATTTCTATAGTTAAAAGCTCTCAGAAAATATTACATTTAACTTTTTCTGCTACAGTTAAAAGCTCTTAGAAAATGTCACATCTTAGTTCGAATTGAAAACTCGAATCCGCGAAGTGTCTCGTTCAGTTCCCCGATTCGAGTTTTTAATTCGAGCTGAGATGTGACTTTATGTGAGAGCTTTTAACTGTAGCAAAAAAGTTAAATGTGACTTTTTGTTAGAGCTTTTTACTGTAGCAAAACTGGAATTAAAAACTCAAATTGGTGATTTCAAATAAACTATGGTCGATCTTTTCGGCCTAGTGTCTTCAATCCTTATTCATAACACGATGTTCTTATTTCATCAAATCCACACTTAACTAGTTCTAATATTACTAAAATGCTCTTTATTATAAGAAGAATTATATTTAGCACTTATAGTTGTATGTCAACTAAAGAACATATGAGTACTCACAATGGAAAGATCAAAAAGGGAAATATCTTGATCACCTAATTGAGTCTTTATGATCTGAATCTGAAAAATGGAAAGATAATTTTTATGTTTTTTTAATAGTAAACATTGATACAAATAATATGATTAGCTAGACAACGAAATCCAAAGTCGCCAAAGAATGGCCCTACAAGCTCAAACACAAATAAATACAAGAGTATAATCACTAGTGCTAGTAGTAATATACACAGAATTGAAGAAGATTATACTTCTATAAAATAAAAGAGAGAAAACATCAAGTGTATGTTCATTTGCACAACTCAAATCATATTGTTACAGTATTTTTTTCACATAAATTTAAATTTATTTTTTTACTACAGTCTTTTTCTCTCACATATATAACTCAAGTCATGATTTGAGTTGTGTAAATGAACACACCCTAAGGGTCCGTTTAGTTCGCTGATTCAAGTTTTTAATTCGAGTTGAGATGTGACTTTATGTGAGAGTTTTTTACTGTAGTAAAAATGTTAGATATGACTGTTTCTAAAAGTTTTTTTCTCTATCAAAACTCAAATTCTAAACTTGAATTAGTGAAATGAACAGTGCCTAAGTAATTCACATTTAATGATTATGACAACTGGGATTACTTCATAATCATTGTCCAAAAGACTTGAGAAATTAAAAAAGAAAAAAAAAAAGAAAAAGAATCCTTGAAAGTGAAGGAGGAATAGTACTCAACATTTGAGAAGGAAAACTACTCTTCCTCCTTGCGTTTTATTATTAGGTCATGCAAATAATGAATTTTCAATTGAACCACCAAAATATCATAAAACCCTTCCTTTTCTATTCGCCACCAAATATTACAACCCAACAACCAATCACAAACGATATTGTTACAAAACAAATAATTATCACACACAGGCCGGTTCAACAAGGATTAGGAAAAAATAAAAAATAAAAAGAGAAAAAAGTACTAGTCAGGGAAACAAAACAAGACGAAAACGCATAACAAACAAACTAAAGGGCATAATATTAATGAATCATGAGAATCCTTGTAAAAATCAAAGCTCCACATCGCAGACAGTCCTCTCAAAGTTCTTGGACCTAGAGAAGTGAACCAAAACAGGTGAACAAAAGATCTTCAGAGTCCGATGAGACGATTTCCAAGCTCCAACCTTAAACCTAATCCTTGCTTTGAGCCACACATTAAGCTCAATCTCCCCGGACGACTTCTCTAGCCTCAGATCCGCCGGGATCGAGCCCACTAGAGGGACGGATTGAGCCGCCAGCTTCAACTCTAACCGTGTCACATTTTTATGAGGTTGGAAAAACGGCTCCACCATATTGTAGGCTAGGGTTTGGTCATCATACTCCACTCTAGACTCTATTTTGTCATAGTAAATAGAGACTTTGGAGTTAGGATTGTACGACCTCACTACAAAATCGAACGATGCATTGAGATGGTTGTTGTTGATATTGAAGTTGTGGATCGACGCATCTTCCACGCTATAAACGAGTCGTTTAGGCCTCACAACTAGCCATATTACGAGCACTGCTATGCCAACAAGGACAATTAGGGCTAGGAAGAACATGGCGATCCATCGAAGGATGTGCGGTTTTCTTTGCGGATTAGCCTCTCGGGTTGGTTCGTGCGTTGGTAGTTGAGGGTTCGGCTTGTTAGCGTGCGTCTGGGCCATTTGTTTTGGGGGTTTGGTGTTTCGAGTCAAGAAGGAAGAGGTTTGGTTAGGCCATTCGCATAAGAGAGTACTCCATCTTTGGTGCTTTTTATAAACTTCTGTCTGAGTGTGGCACTTTTTTTTCCTTTTTGCACTTTTGGTTTTCGTGCATGAAACTCAAGAAATCTTAGGGGAATTGAATATTGAGGTTCGTACTTCGTAGCTAGCTTGTTTGTTCCTTTCTTCAACGTGAATGTTTGGAACATTCAAAAGTGTACAAAAGAGAGAGAGACGGGAATAAAAGTTTAATTAGAAATATTACTATATTAAGTAACTATAATAAGCAAGACATAACACGCAAGTTACATGATATTGTCACCATGTTTATTATAAATAAAAAAATTTCACATGGTCCATTAATTGTGACTGTTTATACTTCAAAAGCGATTCATTTGCAAGCTACAGAATGGTGGTGTGGACGAATAAGGAATTGTAGCTCTCTTATTTCTATAGATGCGTGGCTGGTCTTTTCAATTGTAGATTTTCTTAGTCATCTAAGATTGAGTACCCTAATTTCCTTTTATGGTTTTTCCTACTGAGTTTTACTGACAGGTGTTAATGAGACTCGAATTTGAAGTGCCTATGCATACAGATAGTTTTACGCTTGACAATAGCACAGCTTTACTGGTCGTATTTGGAATTGATCCTATTTTTTTTTTATATTTTTTGAAAAAGAAAAAATGAAAACGTTTTTAAAACAGCGTTTGGCGCAATAAAAATAAAAAATAAAAATTAAACCGATTTTTTAGTTTAGTGTAAAATGAGAGAGAAATAAAAAATGACTTTAGTCGTTTTTCATTTTTTATTTTCGTTTTCTGCTCTCTTGAGCAGACAGAGAGAGAAAGAGACATCAATGAGTTTTTTTATACCGAAAATAATCTCTTGATAAAACTACCAAATGCATTTTTAAAATTAATTTATGTCTGAGATTGAAAACGTTTTCATTTTTATTTTCATACAAAAAATAAAATCATTTTGAAATGAATTCTAAACACGTCCTAAATTTTTTAAGCTACAATTAGGTTTTCTGGCTCTTTTGAGTTGGTCTTCTTGAATTTTTGTATTGCCTTTTGAGCGGATCTTTTTTTTTTTTTTTTTTGCATTATTTATTTATTTATTTTTAATAAAATCGCGTGGAGGATTTGGTTGAGAATGGCTCAGCTAGTAAGTGTCAAGCTAATTAGGATATGAGATATGTTCTTGATATCAATTATTCTCTTCCCTCATTTACTTTTAACAATATATTTATTCCTTTAAGCAAACTTTGAACTTAAAGCCAAAAAAAACACCATATGTGAAATTATTCCAATCTCTTGTTTGGGATTACAAAGGAGATAAATACATGTTCGCGGCACAGCTGAAATAGCCCCCTTTTATTTTCATATATTTTTGTTGAATAAAACACGAGAAATAAAATTTCGTTCAATCCAAACTAATCTGCACAAGTTAGATTCAAAAAAATTCAAAATTCATATGTTTTTTATTTGACGTCATCAGATCGTAATGTTATGTGGACGACTAATTTTTAGTTTATACTTCAAATTTGATTGGATTGAAAAGATTCCATCAAACTATTTTATCTGATAAAACTGTCGTTATAGTGTAGCATAACATTGTTTATTGTGGCATGTTTAGTTTAATATCCTATTTTAAAATAAATTTATGAGATTTATGTAAAAATATCTTTCAAAGGGCTCAAATTGAGACAGAATTAAGGAATGTAGAGCCCATTTAGTTCGTTGATTCGAACTTTTAATTCGAGTTGAGATGTGACTTTATGTGAGAGCTTTTTATTGTAGTAAAAAAGTTAGATGTGACTGTTTCTGAAAACTTTTTACTGTAAGAAAACTCGAATTCTAAACTCAAATCTGTGAAATGAACGGGGCATTAGTTTACCTCTTTAATTTTGTGTCGTTCGCTCAGAATTTTTCTGATCTCTTATGTTATGTTATCATATAAAAGGAGGAAGTGACGATAAAAAATCTTATAGTGCTTAAAGAAGAATATAAATCCTTATGCTCACTCACTAAAGGGGCATTACTCTAGATTTTCATTTGATTTTCATACCGTAGAAAAAACAAAGTTAAATCAACAAAAGTTAGATATATTTCTTTTGAGTTTTGGGGGCTTTCAGTTTGGTCTAGAGTTGGATTGCTTTGTTATTTGACCCCAATTTGCGAAAATTCTTATAAATTAATGGTGAGAGATTAGATTTTTTTTTTCTTTTTTTTTAATCCAGGTTTCTTTAGGGCTGATTCACTTAAAAGTGAGAAGAAAACAAGGTGATAATTGAGATTTGTGCTGTAATTTAATTCCTTTTTTTTAACAAAAAAAAAAAAAAACGGAAAATGGTATAAAATGATCTCTTCCTTAAAAAATTCAATTTAATACAGGAATTAGTGCAAATAACTGTCTAGGGACCAGTGAAGCATGGAATTGATGGTCATGGTCGGTTGTGGAATTTGATAATAGCTTACATAATAATTGTGGGGGGTTTGATTCACCTAAAAACCGGTGGTTTAATTTTTAGGCCCCGTTCATTTTGCTGATTCGAGTTTTACTATAGTAAAAAGCTATCACAAACAATCACATCTAACTTTTTTGCTACAGTAAAAAGCTCTCACATAAAATCACATATCAACTCGAATTAAAAATTCAAATAAACGAACTAAACGGTTCAGGAAAAAGAAAACGACATGTCCTTTGATTATATTAGAAACGCATGTCGTTTAGCAGAGTATTTCCAAAGTCCAAACCAAGACACAGATGTCGGGTTTGGAATTGTTTTTGTTTTTATTTTTCACATTTTTTGAGAAAGAAAAAATGAAAACGATTTTAAAACGGCGTTTGACACAATTAAAAATAAAAAAACGGAAATGAAAACGATTTTTTGGTTTAGTATAAAATGGGAGAGAAATGTGACTTTATGTGAGTTTTTTACTGTAGTAAAAAGTTAGATGTGACTGTTTCTGAGAGCTTTTTACTGCAGTAAAACTCAAATCGATGAAATGAATGGGGCCTAAAATTCTTCATGAACAAGAAAAGATCCATGACCACGTGCAACAGGAACAAGCTCTTCATGCTAAAATGTAAATAAAAACATGCTGAAAAATAACCAACAATATCAGGATCTTGATCTTCCCATAGTAAAAGTTACATATACATCTCTTAAAATCTTTTGCACCATTGGGTGCAAGGAAGGATCTAATTTACCCTTAGGCCTCATTCATTTTACATGTTTGAGTTTTTAGTTTCAATTAAAAATTTTTAGAAAAGGTCACATTTAACATTTTCTACTACAGTTAAAAGCTCTCAGAAAATATCACATCTCAACTCGAATTGAAAACTCAAATCCGCAAAGCGAACAAGGCCTTAGAAATCAAATCGAGAAACAACTCTACAGTTGAAAAATCTGCCGAGAAACCCATTGCCACCATTTCATTAGTAAACTGCAACGCTCTTGATATCCCATTGTTACAAACAAGTCCCATGATCACTAAATTATGTCACAAACAAGTCCCATGATCACTATGAGACGTTTGGTTTATGGATTAGAATCATGAGAATAAAACCATTTTCAATTTACGTGTATTTTTTGTGAGAGAAAATGTTGTAGCGAACCACAAATCATGATTCAAATCGGGATACGAATCTCCCAACTAAACAACTCATATTATAAGTGCAACCATCCGGACCACATCCTTTTACTTCCATTTCTTGACACAAATTTAGAGCTTCAGCTGCCACACCTTCAGTTAGAAGTCCATCAATCATTATATATGTTATAAGTCCTCACATTATGCTGAATGCCTTTAGATGGTAGTATACAAAAAAGATCCTTTGCCACTGCGTTATTCTTAGCTTTACACATGCCTCCAATGAAAATATTGTAGATCACGATATTGAGCGGTGACTTCTTTCCCTCCATATATTGAAACAATGGCATTGCCTCTTTAAGCACTCCATTAATAGCATACGTCTAAATATTTGGGAGCTGCTCCTCAGCTTGCATCTTCTGAAGCAAATCTTGAGCATGCAGAGTTCTCCCTACTTTACACATACCAGCAATAAGAGAGTTATAAGTAGACATCTGGAACTAATCCTTTAGATGTCATTTCTTCAAACAATCCAAAATCCTCATTTATCATCTTTTTCTTACAATACCTATTTATCAAGATGTTATAACTGAATACGTCGCTTTCACAACCGCTATCAATCATCATATCAAACACTTTTATTGCCTCGTCAAGCTCTCCTCGCAAACAATAGCCGTTAATGAGTGAATTATATGTGACAACATGTTTGTACATTGGGAGAGATATTTTGATCCACCATTCTGTCAAATAACCTCATAGCTTCTTTAAAAGAAATTTTAAAGGTGGGATTTTCGTATTCATTGTGTGCATTTCTAAATATCAGAATATTACATCTACAAAAGTTCCGGTCGCCCAACCCGGCAGCTCAAATGAGATTTTCGGGTCAAGCTGCTTTTTTTTTTTATTTTCATCTTTTAAAATTTGTCTTATAAATGTACAAACTTACAGCTCAAAACAGCACATAGCTAAATAATACAGTTTTCTTATACCTACCATAGATTTGTTTTCCCCCCTCTTTTGGTCTTTGCTTTTCCTCAAAGTTATTCCAAAGCCATGAGTTAGAGTAAGTTTGACACAAACGGAGAACAGAATATTTTCTCTGCATAAGGACTTGCAAATCATCTGTCTTTTTTTTTTTCCACAACTCTCTTTTTAAGTCATTGTCATAAAAATTAAAATCCTTGTACATAATTGGAAGTAAGGTATGTGTCTTCGAACATTTTGTAAATGTCATTATGAATAAGTCTTATAAGCATAAAATTGATGTGTTAGACTGGTCATTTTTAAGTAGTTGTACTCGGAATTATGGTATCTGATATGTGAAGGGTAAAAAAGACCATATTCAGAGAGTCCGATTTTTGCATGACATCAGAGCCTAACAAGCTCTGATGAGCGGTCCGATCCATCTAA